CTATTTGAATAGTTTCTTAGAGTAGTATGATTTTAAAAAAAAAAAATCCCCAGTTGCTAAAATATCACACTTTTCCTTGATAAATTTGATTTTTATTAATTTGGCCAAATGTATATTTTTTTCCTAGTCTTAAAAAAATTGGCACAATAGCTTATGCCTGTAATCCCAACACTTTGGGAGGCTGAGGTAGGAGGATAGCTTGAGCCCAGGAGTTGGAGACCAGCCTAGGTAACATAGTGAGACCTCATCTCTACAAAAACTTTAAAAAGTACTCAGGCATGGTGGTGCATACCTATAACCCAGTTACCCAGGAGGCTGAGGCAGGAGGATTGCAGCCTAGGTCGGGGCTACAGTGATGTGTTCGTGCCACTGCACTCGAGCCTGGGTGACAGAATGAGACCCTGTCTCAAAAAAAGACAGAAAAGTAAAATTTTTAAAAATATACTTCAAATTGTTTGCATAAAGGAAAAAGTAAGAACTAGATTAACTACAAATAGAGCTGTTCTTATCTATGCTTCTTTTTTTCTCCAGATGTCCTTGCTCCACAGTATCCATGGCAGTCAAATGACATGTCGATGAATATGTTACCACCAAATCATAGTAGTGACTTTTTGTTGGAACCTCCTGGGCATAATAAAGAAAATGAAGATGATGTAGAGATTATGTCAACGGACTCCTCAAGCAGTAGTAGTGAGTCTGATTGAAAAACCGTAAAAGACAATATACAGAATTGAATACTGTAGAATTCCATTTCTTTAACAGTAGCAGGGAAATGTAAACCACGGGTGACAAAGAACAACCAGGTAAATACTGGCTTTGGTAGAATTGTGCATCCATTGAAAGTCAAAGTGAACTTGCTTTTTAAAGCCAAAGATTATAGTTTTAGTTTTAAGCCACTAGGTAGATATTTAGGGGAATAGTCAACATTTACTGTTGAAAAGAGAAAGCAGGTGCTATGTGGTGTCTTACCCTGTTCTGTTCCAGTTTTGCTGGATTTGTACATAGCTGTTCTAGAAATAGAGTTGAGGGAAGTGATCCACATACATATCACTAATAGGCTTCTTGGAATTATTTAGAAAAGCATTTTTAAGCTGGCAGTGGATGACTGAATAGGCATCATATTTCTTTTTGTGTGTCATTTAAAAGTAACAAAAACTCCCATTTGACAGTAAAGGCTCTTGGCTTCTGTTGGAGGAATGGGAAATTGTCTCAATTTGTACATTTGTAATTATTGTAATTTTTGAAAATAAATTTGTTTGTACATTGTATGCTTTTTTTTTTAGTTTAAATATACTGTCAGTGTAGATAGGAAATTATTTCTGTAACTCCAGTTGCATTTTATAATACTTGAGAGACTAATTGAATTGAAACCTATTACAAGTAATAGGTTTCTCAAAGGCCCACATTCCTATTAGAAGAAATAATTTTTTTTTTTAATAATTGAAAATCTTACCACAGCCTTGTCTGATTTTAAGAATAGATTGTGTGAAAAGATTTAGAATGGAAAGCAACCATTTCTTCCCTTCACCTTCCTCCTCTTGCAGTTCCTCAGGAGTCACTTTTAACCACTTCTAATTTCTGGTAGTAACCTCTGTATTTAAGTAATATGCTTATACAACTATTTCTTGATGTATCAGTTTTAGACAATGTATCGTCTGATTTCAAAGGTAATACAACATTTAATGTGAAACATTTAGCGAATACAGTAAAACACAAAGGAGAAAATAAAATTGTTAGCATTCTACCCAGAGATAATATCAATTCATATTTTAGTGTAGATTTTTTTAAAGTTCACATATACTCTTTTTTGTAAAATGAGAATATTTCCTGAGATACTGTTGTATTTTTCAATTGCTAATCTGTATTCTTCAAATGAACTGAGAATTCCATTTTTCCATCATTTTTTCCTTTTGATTATTTTTGATCTCTAGAAAAATTGGAAAATAAGAGATTAATCTTACATTTTCAC